GCTACTCAAGATGGCGCAGACAAATCAACTTCCGGTGAGACCGAGACCGAGGAAATAAAAAATAAGAGAAGTGAGAAAAGGCCAGAGGTCCACCGCAGGGATTGTTTTACAGCCCTATTTTTATTACACTCAAATTAACTTTGAAACATTTTGGTTACATTTCAAGTACATCTGCAACCAGACTAAACTCAAAGCTTAAAAAATCGACAACATGACACAAATGTTTTGGTTATCTGCTGAAATATTTTCACAAAGGATTATGTCATGGGAATGAGGCTAAATGTGTTTTTGTGGTTGCTTTTAACATACGATGTAAAAAGGGTTAAACACTACTAAATATGTAAATCCACACCAAATCTTAGAGGCTACATTCTCATGAGCTTAAAACTGTGACTTCATTAGAATTAGGTATGCAGTTTTTACATTTGAAAATAATTTGAAATTTAAACCAACATTTTCATAGGATTATTTTGTTTGGTTTCTGCAGCTTTTACTTTTATTGACAACATATCCTGAAGTTGTATCCACAGACAGGCAGGCAGAAAGACAAGAAATAAGACTCCAGGACGAGCAGAGGTATTTTGTAAGGAAACTTTTATGTGTGCTTTGTGAAACTCACTTATCATTACAGACAGAAGGCGTTGCAGTTTCCAGTACAGCAGATAAGGTTTGATATTAAAGAGTACAAAAAAAGGAAAATCACAATTCCAGAGTTCATTTCTCTCCAACGTCACAAGGAAAAAAAGCGAAAGAAAGAAGAGAAACAAGCTTTTGGTCCAAGTCTTTTCTTCTCAGTTCCTTCCCCGTCTGTCCCTCCCTGAGTCTCCCCCTCCTCTCCCCCGTAACAGCCAACAAACACTAGAGGACTCAGTTATCCTGGAATTTAGACAGAGCTTTCCCAGAAAGGGCCTGATTGATGCCCACAACACCCAGAGCTCAGATATTGAACACATTATGATTGCATAGTTTTCTTTTTTACATAATTTCCTTTTCTAGTATTTTTTTACTTGCACATAATGGAATGTTTACATAAAGAACCCTCCCCGATCTTTTCCCTCCCCCTTCTTTGCGGTATATTTTCTTTCCCCTTTCTTCAGGGACAGGTGTAGGGATGGGGGAGAGAACGGGAAGAAGTGGGAGACTGACTTTAGGAGAGAGTAAGAGCGAGGGACAGGGCTCTAGCCACCATTAGGCACATTTATTTGTTTTCTTCCACCATTTTTCCAAATGTTTAAGGGGGGAGCTCCACAGCGCATTACTATGGTAGCTCTTAAAAATCTAGGAAGTCAATGTCTCAATGAAATGACGTGTATATAATTCTGCATTATTTCTTGTATATAAAACTGGACTAACTTTGACCACTACAATCTTACCTATCATATAAATGTAGAATTGTTTTTATTTAAATAAGCACCTATAGCCCACCCCAGGAGGAGAATAGTTTCACAGAAGCAAATATTTGTTTATAATTATGGTGATGCTTGTCATGGGATTTATACAGGGGAAGGCCTTTAGGTACATAAGGCTCCACTTCATGGCTACCAACTATTTCCACGATTATTTCCATTGCACAGAGAAAAAGAAAGCTGAAGAAAAAAAGACTTCTGGAAGCTCAAACCTATCCACTGGTGAAACTGCTCTGTGTCGCTCTCATTGGCTTTAAAATGTCAGCGTTTTTATTTTTAATATATGTCCCTCTACTGGAAAGCCTGCCATCAATTATTCTCAACAACTCGAACTGTGTATGACATGATTCGCACTGGGAAAAAAAGTATGTACAGCGCTGGGCCCCCCCCCCCAATCTGCACCAATCACCAACCCCACCCAAAACCCACCCCACCAAATTAACAAAGACAGGAGGAGGAAAAGAGCTGAGGTTAGACAGGTGACCTTATCCAGCCACGTGGGAATTATGGGTAAATATGTCATTTTATCTCTGGTTGGTCAACACCCCCCCTCCCATCCTTCTGACCCCGCAGCATATATCTCTAGGATCTAACACACAAACCTTGCCAGTCGCCACATCAAGCCCCACACCAACCTGCCCCCCCTCAGCTGACAAGAAGAAAGAAATTATAATAAAATAAACAAAACATAGCATAAGTATCAAATTAGCTTGTGCCCCCCCTCCCCAGTTTAGCTCCACAAAGGCAGAGAGGGTGAAGCTAAGGACCCGCACTACAGAGCAACTGTCCCCCAGCTGCCCCTGGATATGCCCGTTCATCAAATACCTTTTACGACAAATGGATTACTCTGGATGCGTTTGGAAAACATTCGACCCCGGCCCACCTAACTACAGTCCAATCAACACGCTCATTCTCAAACACTCCTGATCCTTTCTAAAACGGCACACGCAGGGGCACCTCACAACCACCAATCAAATTCTTCCAATTGCTCACTTTCTGGCCTCTTCTCTACGCAGAGTGTAACTCTCTACACCCCCCTCCCTCCCCCCACTGGTTTGTGCAGCCCTCCTCTACAGGTCGCTCTCTCCGTACAGGGCGGTGGAGAAGGACATGTAGTCCAGGGCCCCGGGGGCGGCGTCGGGCCCCGTGTAGGGCGCCATGCGCGCGATGCAGTATTCCGCCTGGTCGGGGGGGAGCTCCCTCCGCAGCTCCTCGGCCGTGATGAAGGTCTGATGGACACAAAGAGGAGGGTACATAAGGGCTTACAATATATCACAATGTGACAGAACAACTTACAAAATTGTTTCTACAAAAGATTAATTTGAGAATTAAAGGTTATTGTTTTTGTTGTCCAATTAAGTTTGAATGTACTGCAGTTTGAAAGAGATGAGATAAAAGGAGGGAAATATCCAAAAGCTTCCATCTCAAATACATTATTTTTAGCATCTGGTTTTCTTTGCCAATCAGAACCAAGAATCGTATTTGTTCTGTTAATGTGAGCTTTATGCTTCATACAGACTCCTGCACAAGAACCATTTAGATTTTGGTTGTTGTTGCTTTAACTGGAAGCTATATAATTATGTGCAGGGTTCATACACTTTTTCACCAATGATTTTCAATGACTTTTCCATGACCTTTACCTAATTTTCCATGACCAAAAACATTACTCTTTCTCAGCGGTGCCACTGAAAATGGTTTATTTTAACATGGAACAGGAAAATAAGGTCTGCATATGAAACATGTAGTGCCTCTCAAAAACAAATCAAATAGGCTTACTTACTAGCTTCTACACGCTAAAGCAACTAAAATGTCTCACCAGCAAAATACCTCGTCAGTTATATGGCATTTTACGTTTCATTACTATACGATACAGTATTTATTATCATTATAGTATTACTATTTCGGCGATTAGATAAAATATATATTATATTTGATGCAACTTTAGTTACATTTCCATGACTTTTCCAAAACCTTGGGAAAAATATTGTTTTACATAACTTTTCAAGGGCCTGGAATTAGCATTTTGAATTTCCATGACTTTTCCAGGTTTTCAATGACCGTAAGAACCCTGTATGTGTGATAAAACACACAAACACTCATCACTTGGAATGGGTATCGTTAGGATTTTACAGATAACGATACTGCTTATCGATACCGGTATTTTTCGATAATTTGGTGCTCAAAATTATAGACATGATTACAATATGTGAAGATTAAACAACAGTCATTTTATTGTAATTTATTTGTATTTATTATTTAATGTAACTTTTTCAATGTCATACCAAGCAGGTACTGTATGGGTGTGTTTGACAGTGTGTCTCTGGAAGGGGGGCGGTAATTAGGGGCAGTACACACACACACCTTGTCAGCGGCCAGGATCTTGAAGGAGGCGATGACCTGGTCTGCAGTGTCCGTGTCAGTCGTTTCCCTGGACATGAAGTCGATGAAGGCTTGGAAGGTAACGGCTCCGCTGTTGTTTGGGTCCACTATGCTCATGATGCGAGCAAACTCACTGTCTCCCTGGCAACCGAGAAACAACAGGTTAACCAGGAGAGACAGCATTTTGTGTGTACACACACACACACACACACACACACACACACACACACACACACACACACACACACACACACACACACACACACACACAC